GTGGGAGAGGGGCAGGGGTGGGCTCACCTGGCTTTGGAGGGCTCATGCCCCCTGCTAGGCCTGGGGAGAGACAGATGGAGGCTGAGTGACAGATGGACGCCATTCTGCCCCTTCTCTTTGCCAGGACCCAACTCTTTGCCCCACGGGACCCTGTGACACCTCTTCCCCTCCACCTTCCAGAACTCCATGCCTGCCCTGCCTCCCCCATCTGGCTGGGCCCCTTCCCTCGGGAAGGCTCCTTCCAGCTCCCAGCCCATTCTTATAAACTGGGGAGACAGGCGGGGGGCTTTGAGGGCTCACAGATGAAGGGAATCAATAGTTTCTGGAGGTAGAGAGTAGTGGGGTCTAATTCTGACACTAGTTTCAATTCTGGGGTTTTTTCCAACATCACCAAGCAATTTTCGGGTACCAGCTGGGTGTCCTACAATTCTGACCCTACCTACCTGGAGGTGGCATCAGATCCCACCAGTTAAGAGCTCAGTCCCACAATACTGTTCCCTCCTCCCACTTCTTCTCCCCATTGCCAATCCAGGTTGTCATCTGTGCTCCTGACCAACCAGCTCTATAAATCAGAAGTTCCGATGACCCCCTCTTTGGGTTCAATTAATCGTCTAGAGCAGCGGTTCTCAACCTTCCTAATGCCGCGACTCTTTAATACAGTTCCTCATGTTGTGGTGACCCCCAATGTCATTGTTACAAATTGAACATAATGAAAGCATAGTGATTAATCACAAAAACAATATGTAATTATAGATGTGTTTTCTGATGGTCTTAGGCCACCCCTATGAAAGGGTCGTTCGACCCCCAAAGGGGTCGCGACCCACAGGTTGAGAACCGCTGTTCTAGAGTGGCTCCCAGAACTTAGGTATATTATGAAAACTCAGAAACAGCCAGATGAACAAAATGTACAGGATAAGGTTTGTGTGTGAGACAGCATTCGGCGCTTCCATGCTCCAGCCCATCACCCTTCTCTCCACCCCCCACTCCCCACCCCCTTCACCAACCCGAAAGGACGCTCCCAACCCTGTCCTGGGGGTTTTTACAGAGGCTTCCTTACAAGCAAAGGGGTGGGATTAAAAGTTGCAACCCTCCAATCACATGGTGGCAACGGCCCCGGGGGCTTTCCAAAAGTCACCTCATTAACACAACAAAAGAACTTAGGAAATTCCAAGGCTTTTAGAGCCAGCTCTGTGCCAGGACTGGGAGAAGACCAAGTATATATTTCTTACCATAAATCACAGTATCACAGTGTGGATCAAAAGGAAGGGTTTACCTGGCTTCTGAGGCTCCATGCCCTCACCAATGCCTGGAGAAGAGAGGGGGGCAGGTGAGGTGCCCCTCACCCACCCACCGGGCCTCTCCTCTAGAACTCAGGCTCCCCGGGGCCCATCCACTACCTGGTCCCTGGCTGATGGAGCCACAGGCCTGTGCAGACAGGAGAGGGGGAGGCAGGAGGCGGGCAGCTGGGCTGCCTTTCCTCCCAGCTTAGGAACCAGAAGGCCTGCCTCCCCCGGTCAATTCTCCAAGTCTGGTGGGGCCCATGAGAGGACCATGAGAGAGGATCTGGGTGAAGACACTAGCTCCCTCCAAGGGCTGCCTCCTCTCCTCCTTCCGGCCTCTCTCAGCCCCTCAGTCCCCACCTGTGTTGGAGCCATCCTGAGCAGGGGCCGGTGGGGCGGGAAGGATGAACAGGAGACTGGGGCCCTGGCTAAGGTGGGGTAAAGGCTGGCAGCCGGCCAAGCCAGAACCAGGGATCGTGGAGGTTGTCCCGGGCCTCTTTTAATCATTTTCAAATCCGGCCCCTCAAAATCCTGGAGGGAGGTGGGAGAGGACACACAGATGCGGATGCTCACCTTACACCCCACCAGTCCCAGCAGGCTGGGATCCCAGCCCATTCCCGAATCGTGTGTGTGTGTGTGTGTGTGTGTGTGTGTGTGTGTGAATATCAGTGGGGTGTGAATAGGTGTCTGGAGCTCAGGGTTTGGGGGAGGTGGAGAAGGAAGAAAGATAGGCAGGGGTGAGGCTCACCTGGCTTCTGGGGTTTCATAGCCAATCCAAAGCCTGGTGGGGAGAGAAGCAGCACTGAGGGCCCGGGGTCCCATCCCTGCGCCTCCCCAGAGCTCCGGCCCACCCCTACCTGGTCCATAGCCATTCTGAGCTGCAGGGCCTGTGGGGAGAAGGTGGGGGGATGGTAAAGCTGGCTGTGGGCTGAGGGGCGGAGGCCAGCCCTGGGGGCCCCCTGGTCTTGCCTCCCACTTCTCTCCTCATGGTCCTTGGGGCCCTGACACCCTCCACTCCTGAAGCAGAGAGTGTCCCCCTTGCTAGAGGTAAGCAGACCCCGCTCCATGCATTAGTGCTGAGGAAGGTGGTGCCAGAGAGATAGACCTGAGAGAAATGAGGACAGGATGGCTGTCCTCTCACCTGGCCCAGGGCTTTCCCACCCCTTCCCAGGCTTGAGAGGCAAAGAGGCTGACAGCCTCTGCCAGGCCTTCAGCCCCTGCCCCTG